GACACTGTAAAGGTGCTCAGTTCCATGGAATTGTTCATTTAAAATGGAGGATTTGACGTTATGTATATCTCAAGTCAGTTTTTAAAAAGTTTGGCCATCCCAGAGCAGCTGTGCTGGAAGCCCACGTGGAGAACTCGCGTGGAGAAATAAGTCCTGGAGCCAGCAGTCAGAGGCCCCAGGGTGCTGCCGTGCGCTCACTGGTGTTGATCATGGCGGGTCCTCTGTTTCGCCAGCGGCCTTTGCTGTCCCTTCTCATCTCCCTGGGCTCTACCCGCAGGGCACCAGGGCTCAGCCTGGGACCTGTCACTCATGTTCAGTGATCTCTTCTAGGTTCCATAAGCACTAGTGACCCCAGATCTCCCCCTATGCATCCCAGACCTCTGGGCCCGGGTTCCCAATTGCTTGCGAGTCTAATTCAGTGCCCCCCACAGGCTGGGTGGGTTGTCAGAACCGGATGCTGTGGGGCACTTGACAATGCAGCTAGGGCCACACCCTGTAGGGACAGGTGTGCAGGCTCCCAGGTGACTCTTACTCATCACAGAGGCTGAGTCCTGCTGCTCTAGAAGTCATCTCCAACTTGCAGGAAGAGAAACACACCCTGCCACGGCACTGACAGCACTTCCCACGACACCTTCAGGTGAAAAACCAGCTCTCACTCAGAGCTACACCGAAATCAACAGGGCCATCCTGACTTGGTCTGGTTCCCGTATAACAAAAGCTTGACTCCCACAAACAGACCCCCTGTGTTAAGGCACTTTTATCCCCAACTTTTTGCTCAGCTGATATACAAAAAGTCATGACCTTTTGAGCTTTCCCATCACAGATGGGCTAGTGTGAACTTGACCGCCTTGTAAAGTTTGTGCTGTTTTCCTTAAACACTTCTTGGGTCGTGCATTTGGTGAGCCGGTTCCTCAGAGGTCCGGCTGCCTTGCCTTCTCTGTGCTGTGACAAACCCAGGGTGGCATGTTGGGAACCGACCCACCCTAGGCCAGCCTCTTGCACCCCAGCCCCCCTTGAAGTCCACAGATCCTGTGGACCCCACCCACCCACAACCCCCACCACCTCTGTGGCCCACCCAATCCAGGCGTCCACCATCTTTCCCCGGTTGCTATAACAACCGCCCTTCACTCTCAGCTGCTCCTCATTCCCTTCTTCGGATGGGAATTCTCTGCAGCTGGAGTCAGATCGCGGCCAATTCTGCCTAACCTCTCCCTGGCTCCCATCACACAGAGAGGGGCCCGAGGTCCCTCACGCTCCAGGGCCCCCCGGCCACCCACAGTCCAGCCTGCTGCCTCTCCCACCCCCTGCCCGGCATGATCTTTCCCTCCTGGAAAGATCTTGGCCTCGGTCTTGGTCCTAAGCTTCTCTGGCCCTCTGACTGGTACCTGCTCTTCTGCTAGTCCTCACCTGCACGAGAGCGCACAGGGCCTGGGCCACAGGCATATTCACACGTATGGCTTGTCTCCTTCCTCTGGACTGGAAGGGCCTCGAAGGCAGGGTCCCACACTTAGAAACTGGCCTGGCCAGTTTCTGGCGGGTGCTCCACCCACTGTGCTAAATGACAAGCGTGGTGGTGACAGCAGCCTGAGGGGGCAGGACCGGGGGAGGGGGCAGCGGTGCTCTCTGGATTTGCTTTTGTCTTGTTCAGCACTTAGGAAAATGTTACTGAAAATGTCAGTTGTTAGCCCTGGCTGGTGTAGCTCGGTGGATTGAGCACGGGCCTGCCAACCAGACAGTTGCAGTTCGGTTCCCAGTCAGGGCACATGCCTGGGTTGCAGGCCAGTTCCCTGCAGGCCAGTTCCCAGCAGGGGACGCACGAAAGGCAACCATACATTGATGTTTCTCTCCCTCTCTCCTTCCCTTCCCCTCTAAAGATAAATAAAATCTTTAAAATAAAAAAAGAAAATGTCAGTTGTTGACAATCAGAGCTTGGAGGGAAAACACGTGAAGATGGATGACAGCAAGTTTCGAAATGGCTTTGCTTGACATCGGCTCTACTGTGAGGCTAAAACCACCAGGTGGAAGGTAACCAGAGAAATGTCAGATCCTGGGTTTAGGCCCAGGAAAAAAACTACATTAAATGGTAACACACACCTGCTGACTCAAGCTGTTTTAAGTGATCAGCTCAGTAGGAGCCCAATGCACTCGGGTTCCGTGCTGAGCCATGGTCTCTGTGGACGCCGGCAGAGCTGGCTGCAGCCGCGCATGCACAGCTCTGGGCGTCGCATTCCCTGGGGACTCAGGCAAAGGAGAGTCTGAATCGGAGAGAGCGAGGGGTAGGTCCCCACACCCTGGTTCTGTGCGCTGGTCATGTAGAAGAAGAAGAAAATCATGGCAGCCGGGGTGGAGCTCAGAGCAGGAGAAATGAGGAGGGATGCAGACCTGGCTCAAAGTGACGAAATCTTCCCACCAAAAAATGCCAGTGAGTAGGCCACCTCAGGCGGTGAGGGGGACGGGGCCCCCGGTGCACAGGAGCCCCTCTGCTCTGAGCAGGAAGTGCCGCGGAGCTGTGGTCCCAGCACAAGGCACGCGCCTCTTTATGTCCTAGAACAAGTCAGCCCTCGCACCTTGCTGTCCACATGGTGACACTTGGCCCACGTCCCAGGGCTGGATGGGGACTGAAGGTGACAATGCTCGCTTGGATGCTGACTCCCTGTCCACAGGAGAGAAAGCAGAGCAAGGGGCAGAAAAGCCACTGATGCTCAGGGGCCTGGTGGCCAGTGGCCATCGGAGGGGCCTGGGCAGATGGGCTGTGGAGGGAAGGACGACACAGGTTTAGATGGAGCAGGAAGTCACCACTTTGTCCCCCGGAGGATCCACAGCAGCAGGCTTACGGGCGTGGACTTCAGGATGGTTCTGAATACATGCAGTTTGCACATTTGCTCACTTAGGTTCCATGAACGGAAGAAGCCACAGCCTGCCCTCAAATTCGTCTCCATTCTAAACACGACCCTTGTGCTGCTTTAGAATTTTGGACAGAACTCTCAGCAGACTCGTCCCTCACAGGTGGCTCAGAGGAGCCGTTTCAGGTCAAGCCCAGCAGGTCCCCCCAACCCCCGCCTCCTACCTTTCAGGCTCAGAGACCCCAAAGGCAGAGAATGTCACATTCTCTGGTGAATTCAGGATATACACAGGTGTGATAAGACCTGGGGGCCCATGTCACCTTGAGGTGTTCCTGTCACCCCTTCCCAGGTCCCAGTCCAGAGGCTGACCTCCGCCCTCGCTCTCCTCTGGCTTTTCCAGGTGCTGGGACGGGGTGTGGCCCTGGGACCGCAGTGGGTTTAGCGGGGGAGGGTGCGGTGCTCCTGGCTGCTCCTCAGGTCACCTCAGGAGGGAAGAGCTCCTACAGTCGGAGCTGCCCGCTGCAGGGAGAGCCCGCCCCTGGTCAGCAGACTTTGTGTCCCCCGTCCACCCTCTTCTCAGATCTCACCGGCAGTGCCCTGTCCCATCCATGTGGGGGTGTTAAATAGGGGCCAGGAAGACCTCATTGCCGGGGACCAGTTTGTAAGCATACCCCACCCCCACCATCCAGCCTGGGTGCAAGGAGGTATGGACAGGGGGTGAAATTGGGAAACCAGAGCTGCAAGCAGCCACGGGAGGACCAGCCTGACCCCTGCACCCAGGGCCACACACTTCCCAGGACGGACATGGTGACCTTGGACAGCCTGGTCCTGTCCACTCCAACACTGCTCAGGGGTGCCCAGCCACAGGACTCACACAGCAGGAGAAGGCAATTTGATGGTAGATGGACAGACGGTAATCATCAATGTCACCTGTGTTCCCAAAGGGTCCCAGGAAACCCAAGGCCCAGACCCTGAAGGCCTCAGACCTGCCGCCCACACTCCTCTGGGTGCCACTGTCTACTGCACCGGGGCCCGGGGCCTGGCCTCCCGGCTCTGCGTGGTGGCTCCCCCGGGGCAGCATTCTTTAGCTGTCCCAGCCGTCGTAGCACAGCAGACGAGAGTGGAGACAGGTGCAGGCCTCCTCCTCCTCACCTCTCCAGCTCAGGGCTATAAATACTCAGGATACAAATGGTAAATGCTTGAGACATTTATCATAAATTACAGGTGGGTGATTGTGAGTCTTTAGGCTGTGCGGCCTCTTGGGGAGTATGTCAGTTCTTAAAAAAGACAGAAACTGAGCCAAGTGGTGGGAGGCCCCCCGAGTCTGGCTTGTTGGGAAGAGGCCGTCCAGCTCAGGGCATCAGCCCTAGAGGAAGCAGATGGCCAGACCCAGACCCAGGGTGACTCCGAGCCAGACGAGGGGAGGGCACCCTTGCTGCTTTTGCTAGGTTGGGACATTATTCCATGAGCATTACTTCTTTAATAACTTTTATATGAGTAATTTAAAAATGCCAGTTCTGTTCTAACAAGTGTATATTGTGGGAGACTCGTTGGGCCGCCCTGTGCACCTCTCCCACTTCCCCAGTGGAGGCAGGTCCCAGGCCCATCGGTCCAGGCTGGGGGCGCGGGGTGTCTGGGTCCCAGTCAGCCAGTCCGATGGGAAGCAGCAGGACCCCGCGCCCTCTCCTCTGGTGCCCTGCAGGGGCCCGGCTGGGACACCCAGGAGGCCCAGTAACTGGGCAGGATGGGTCAACTTCGACCAAGACAAAGCCTTCAGACTGCCCTGCATGCTAAATCATTCCCTTCCTGTTTCCAGAAACTCCTGAGCAAACACCAGGCACCAGGAGGACTTCTAATTTAATATTATAATAATACAAACCATGGGGGCACAGAACCGTGAAGTGCATTTTAAATTCCCAGGGCCACTAATGAGCACCGAACTCCTGCTGGTGCTGCTGTCGGGACACGCACCGAAACCGATGGCCGCAGCGGCAGAAATAAATGGAGCCCGGCCCGGCCCGCTGCGGTTGCAGCCACGGGCGGCCGCCAGGCCCCTGGCCGCCTCTGCTGCGTGGAGGAACACGACACACACACACACACGCACGCGCGCGGCGCGGTCACGCCGAAAGCACCACAAAGCAAACACTAACGAAGAAAAACTGGAAGGAGACAAATTTAATTTTCCTTTTACCCTTTGACACCTTTCTATTCTGTCCAAAGGGAGGTTCTTAATTGAAATCTGCGTGGGGAACTTTCCCTCTTTATTACCAAGTGGCTTTGGCACACAGGATGCTCTGCTTTTTATCACAGATTATACCTTCTTTTTCCTCTGTGTCTCTGGAAAGGATAAGCGATTACAACTTTGTTACCTTCTAAATTAAAGAAGAGGCGAGGCTGACCGGGTCGGAGCCATCCGCACGGCAGTTGAACAATTGGGGCGCCAGCATGACTACTGAGCAATTCTTTGCACAATTCAAACGCTTTTTATTTTTCTGCTGAAGAATCAGTCTAACAAACATATCCCACTGTTGCTGAAAATAATTTCTTTTCCCAATTCTAGGAATAAAACACTTTAATGCATTTGTCATTAAATAAGATTTAAAAAGTGACAATTTAAAGAGCATGGGCCCATGGTTTTAAAATCAGAACAAAAACAGTAAAAGGAGTGATAACACGGGAAAACAAGAGCATGTGTGGACGGCTGTGTTATACTATTACCCCCGTCTCCAGTCTGCAGCCTTGAGGACTTCCAGGACCAGCGGGGCGGCCTCACTCCGCAGGCACCGCGCCCCGCCCATCACGGGAGCCCCGCCCAGCACGGGAGCCCCGCCCAGCATGCTCAGTGCTGCCCCAACCCACCCTCCAAGGAGCTGCCAGAAGGCGATTTTGAAAGCTTTCCCCAAAAGCCCTAATGAAGTTTGCTTTTTACTCCTAAAACACAAGCAAGCAAGCAAATGAAAACATGATGTGAGATGAAGGGTGGGGTTCTGGCAGGGATCCATTTCTCCATCTGGGTGGCAGTTACAAAGCTGTTGCTTTAGTGTGTGACTGACAAGCATCACAGTCAGGGGCCAGAGGTCACAAGTACCTCTCTGTCCATCTCCACTGAGGGTCCAGCCTCACCTGGCCTTTCCTCGAACCGCACACCACCCAGGCGGTGTCCTCACAGAGATAAGGGAGTCACACGTCACTCCTGGGCTGAGGACTCTGAGGGTGTCTGGGAATCCTTCCAGCTGAGAGCCAGCCCATCTTGTCACCCTCAGCCCCGGTTAGCGCCCTTGGTCTCTTCACGTTTTCAGACCATTTTGGTCCAGTCAGCCGCAGGGCAGAAGTCCTCTGCAGGCTCAGCCTGGGCTCTGGAGAACGCCAGTCGTCTGGGGGCTTTCCATGGTTCCTCACTCACTCTTCATGCCCTGAAAATCCAGGCCTTGGTCTAGGCCTGTCTGCTGTGCCACAGCTTGAGCGGGGTCTCCAGCCTCAGCCAGCGGGCCCTGGCCCAGCCCGTGCACAAAAAGAGCCCCACCTGCTTCCCAAAGCAGAAGGCCCAGCAGGGAGGCAGAGCAGGATTTGCTGAGCTCTGTCAGTGTGGGCCTGGGGCCCGGGGCAGCTCCCATGAGGGCAAGGCCTCCGGACAGGCCAGGGGGGCAGCGGGAGGCAGGCTGGTGGCGTTGGGGAAGGTGAATGTGGAACCTTGGTGCAGCGCTCCTCTGTGCCACCACGTTGTCAGACTCGGTTTCCCCTTCCTTCCTTCATCTGATAAGGCAAGCACCTGGAGTGCTGGAGGAGAGGGCAAGGGAGACAAACTGTTCTCTCAAGACATACCTAGGGCAGAGATCAGGAAGGTGCAAACTCCAGAGGAAACTCCCAGGAGATGGGGAGGAGGTGGCCTGGTGGGAAGGGCACTGATGTGGGTCCAGCACGGAGGCGCCTGACACACTCTGTTCCCCTCCAGGCATGAAGCTGAGCACCTGGGTAGCATGTGGCGCCTGGGCCAGGACGGCGGGGGGTGTGCTGCACGCACAGCAGAACTGACAGGTCCATCGCCGGCCCACCCCACACCCCTGGTGCACAGTGTGGCCTCAGCCCGGGGCTCCGCTCTGAATGGGGAACTTCAGAGTTTACATAGAGGCCCTTCAATAGGTGACCCTTTGAAAGCATTTGCACTGCACCCTTGCTCCGACTTCCCTGGCTGCCCAGTGAATGCAGGGCTGGAAGGAGTGCTGAGCAGTCCTTCTCCAGCTAACGGGCAACACGGGGTTGGATGACGGCAGAGGGTGGCCACCCACCTTGAGTGGGTGGCACTGCCACTGGCTATAGGAGCCTCTGTCCCCTTTCCAAATGCCCGGACCCTCAGGGGTCCATCCCCCAAAAGGGCAGGTAGGTGGAGACCAGAGAGCAAAGGGGCAGGGAGACCGGAGCCCTTGGGCTTTCCCTGGCTTGCACTCACTCACACCGGAGACTTCTGGTGAGTCCCGCATTGGAGGCTACCCTGCTATTCCATCCGTCACTCAGCACTCAGTTACACGAGGAGAGAAGTTAATTGTCCCATTGTTCTTTGTATCCCCACAATCAATGTGTCCTTATGACCCCAGAAATGACCCCCCTTAAGTCCCAACCCTGCTCTGAGCAGGTCACAGGGCATGGAGCTAACGGCCGGCCAGCCAAGGGAGACCGCAGAATCGCAAACACTGAGGAGACTGATAGAAACACAAAGGAGTGCAGGGATGGAGACAGACGGGACCATTTCAGTGAGGGTCAGGAGGAAAGCGCCTTAGATCTGTGTTCTCTTCAATCCCAGGTCGAGTACTGTGGTTGGGGGGACAAACACGGCCACCAGCGAATCCTGCACACTGGCAGGGGCCAGGGTGGTGTCCCTGACACTGCAGTCTGCCCTCGCTGTCCTGGGCCACACAGGCAATTTGGGGACAGGTCCAGCCCAACTGGAAGCTGGTGCAGATTTGTGCACACAGACTTCTGAACATTAAATTAGAAGGTACCGTAATAACCATTTCCTTGTCAACCTCCTGAAGGCTGGATACATTTCAGGAAGGGCAGGTTAATAACCCAGCAGTCGAGTGCTGATTAGCTCCAGTGTCCACAGGGGGGTTTGCTCCTTGTGGGTTTCACTGAACTTCCTCAAACGAGTTTTCCAGTGAGCGGCACCTGCGCCCCACTCAGGAGCTGGGCACAGGCTCTTGCTCCACCCCATTCAAAACTAAGGAAAGAAAATCACAGCATTGAAGGGATTAAACGAGTGATTTGCTGTTTGAGCATTTCAAAAAGATCAGGAACACACATGATTCAGCAAATGGTAAATAACTAAAAGAAAATTTAAAAAGTCATCCGGTTGCCAGGGCGATGTGGAAACCCATTTCCTAAAAGTACTGAAGGCCCAACCCGCTCTCACGCCAGAGTCACTCGGCATTTCTTACCCCGACAGGCCTGTCTGTTGCTCCTCTGTGCCCTTGCCCGGGTCAGATGAGAGAGGTAGGGTGTTAACGGTGGACTGATGAAGATTGAAGACCCATTTTCTCCCCCTGGAGACCAGCTGATTTGAACAAATTGAGAACAAAGCTGCCCCTTCCTGTCCTTGGGAGCAAACCTGTTCAGTGTCCGTGTCTGCAGCCAGGTCTGCTCCTGTCTGGGAAGGGGGAGGGGCAGCCAACAAAGACCCCTGCTCAGGGGGATGCCAGTTCCTGCTGCCGTCTGGGCCCATTGAGTCACGGCACATCAGTGCCCCCTTTACTGGTGCTGCCGGCTGGACGAGCGAGAGTTGGAGCCTGGGCTGGAGGGCAGCGAGCTGCCGCTGGGGGCCTGCAGGGCGCGGGGCTCCAGCTGCTGACCGGCTGGGCTGGTGTCCCCTGCCCCCAATTCCTCGTTGTTTTCCTCTTTCTGGCTGTTCTGCTGCTCTGGGCACTCAAAGTGGACACAGTGAAACACCTGGTGAGAGAAGGCAAAAACCCATGAGTGACAGGCCAGTGTCCCACCCCGGAGCTGCCACCAGTTGGGACATTGTCCTGCCCAGCTCTGGGGGCTGCGACAGGGAATTAAAGGAAGTCCTTCCTGCTCCCCTACCCTCACACTGACACCCAGCAGCAGCTGGAAGGTTGTAGACACATTTCAGGGTAGAAGTAGGTGGATGGACTGATGGGCTAAAAGTTACAGCAGGTCTGGATTCCTGCAAAACGTTCTCACTGGATTCCTCTATTGTTGGTTACTTTTGTCCTCGGAGCTCTTCTTTCTAATTAGTTGGTTAATTCTTCCACTTAGCCATTGGGTTAAAAGTCAACAGGGCAACACCGACCATGGTGGAGGCTGCACAGCCCTGTGAGGATGCAAAAACCGCCGACCTGCACACTTTAAACGGGTGACTTGTATGGTGTATGGATTATCTCAATAGAGTTGGCACTTAAAAAAAGCCATGGGGGTCTCCCCAGGGGAGAGCCCAGGCTTATCTCCAAGGACACAAACAAGCCCCTCCTGCTGCAACTCCTGCATCCTCAGGAAGAAGCTCTGAGGCATAATTACATGCTGGGGAGCACACGGCACTCTGACTGATGTGGGTCAACCCCAAAAAAATGCCCTCACACGGGGAGGCGGGTGGGCAGCCACCAGACCAGAGCCAGAGAGTTTGCCTTGTGTGTCTGTGTGCAAACGTTCCTGAGCTCTGTGCTCAGCCCCTGTGGACCACGCCGGCAACACACAGCGCCCAGCCAGCAGGGGTGAGCCAGGGCCTGTCCTGGGGAGCACACAGCAAGGACGGGGGAGGTGGGTGCGAGTGTGGCACGCCTGGCACAAGGACGGAGGTTCTGCAGTGTGAGCGGGGCGTGTGCAGCAGAGGGGCTGTCATAGGTGGGCCTCTGGGGACCCGACCGCAGCCAGGCACGCTCGGAAGGTCCTGTCTCACTGGGGCCCTGGCTGCGCTCGGGTGCTGGTCCTGAGCTCTTCACAGAGGAAGACTCGCACCCTCTGCAGTGATGGTCTTCAGCCTGGGGTACACACGGACTGCTTTCCAAGGAGCGTGCGGGGAGCTTTAAGAAAATGAATTTCCAGATCCTCAAATTCTGTATTTTCTAAAACTACCCGAGGACTTCCGCCAAGATGGAGGCATAGGTGGAGATACCATGCCTTCTCACACAACCAAGTTTAGGGACAACTAAATATTAGCAACACAAAACACAGCCAGAACACGGAAAATTGAACTTTTCGGAAGTCCGTTAAATTCTTCAGCCTGACTGGTAAGGGGCGAAACCGGCGTCTAGTGAGGGGTTGCACAGGAGGACTGGGTAGGACCCGGGCGGGGAATACAGACGCGCGAATCCAGACGCACGGGTTCCAAACGCAGGATTGGACCTAGTGAGCGACCGAGCAACCCACCGGGTGAGTGACTGCAGAGGAGACAGTGGGGAGGCGGTGCTGCGTGTTGACTGCGGTTGCCTATTTGCGGGCGAGCGGACAGGCGAGGGAGTGGGCGGTTGGACCGGGGCCCGGCAGTCCCCGTTGCAAGCGGCAGTAGAGGGCGCCGCCATTTCCTCGCTCTGACCACGCCCCCACATACAGCGTCACAACCCAGCGACCTGGGAGTCCAAGGCACCGCTTCTCACATTTAAAGGGCCAGAACAGACCAAAAATGTCGCAGGAAGACCTCAAAGCCCCAGAGATAAATCTAAGTGACGAAGAAATAGCAAAACTCTCAGACGCACAGTTTAAAACACTGGTCATCAGCTTCCTCACAGATCTGGTGGATTATAGCCACAAATTAGAGAAACATATGAAGGCTAAACTAATGGAAATCAATGGAATTCCACAGGAAACCCATAGCGATGAAAAGGAAACTGGGACTCAAATCAATGGAGTGGACCAGAAGAAAGCAAATAATGGCCAAACAGAAAAGAGTCAAGGAGCAAGAATTCAAAGAAATGAGGAGAGTCTTAGGAACCTCCAGGACATCTTTAAACGCTCCAATATCCGAATCATAGGGGTACCAGAAGGGGGAAAGACACAGCCACCAGTGGAAAACTTATTTGAACAAATAATAAAAGAAAATTTCCCCAATCTGGCAAAGGAAATAGACTTCCAAGAAATCCAAGAAGCTCAGAGAGTACCAAAAAAGTTGGACTCAAGAAGAAACACACCAAGGCATATCATAATTACATTAGCCAAAATTAAAATGAAGGAGAGAATCCTAGAAGCAGCAAGAGCTAAGGGGACAGTCACCTACAAAGGAGTCCCCATCAGACTGTCAGCAGATTTCTCAAAAGAGACCTTACAGGCAAGAAGGGGCTGGAAAGAGATATTCCAAGTCAGGAAATCCAAAGACCTACAACCAAGATTGCTCTATCCAGCAAAACTTTCATTTAGAATGGAAGGGCAGATAAAGTGCTTCTCAGATAAGATCAAATTCAAGGAGTTCATCATCACCAAGCCCTTATTATATGAAATGTTAAAGGGACTTATCTAAGAAAAAGAAGTTAAAGAAACATGAACAGTGAAAGGACAACAAACTCACAGTTATTAACAACCACACCTAAAACGAAAGCAAACTAAAAGGACAGCTAGATCAGGAGTGGAAACATAGAAATGAAGATCTCAAGGAGGGTTAGCAACAGGGGAGTGGGAGGAGGAGAATGGGGGAGAAGGTACAGAAAATAAGTAGCATAGACAGTAGATAGAAAATAGATGGGGGGACAAGAATAGCATGGGAAATATAGAATCTAAAGGATTTGAGACACATGGTCATAAACTAAAGGGGGGTAATGGTGGGGTTGGGGGGGCAGGGTGGAGGGGAATGAAGGGGGAATAGAACAACTGTAACAGCATAATCAATTTAAAAAATTAAAAAATTGCCTAAAAAAAAAAAAAAAACCTGCCCGAGAACCCTCCCCACCTCACAGAAGGAAAAGCGCAGCCCTCACCTGCCCTCACCAGGCTGCGCTGGGCTGGGGCGCCGCCCCCTCCCGCCAGCAGCGGCTGCAGGCTTCCTGAGACCTGGGCCTCTGCCCGTCCCAGGTCAGGAGGAGGACCCCGCCTGAGTGAGATCTGAATTCACACCTGAAGAGGATTCACAGCTCATGTAATTTTTAAAAATGTACCTGGAATTTTCCCAAAATTATGAAAACATTTTCAAGATACCCATGGATACAAGTTTTTCACAATTTCACATTTACTGTGCCTTGTTCAATGGGTTGGTTAAAAATCTATTTTAGCAAATCATGTCATCAAATATTTATTCCTAGTAATTAGTCCTCACCTTCTATCTTGTTTATTTTTCTTATCTCACATTAACAAAATGACTATATTTAAATTTAAGAAATATTTTACTTCTGAACCTTAAAATGTTCCAAGGAATGTGTACAGGTTTTTCCAAAGCTCCTTCAGGAGACATGCGGACACAACATTAGGGCGCCACCCCCCACGTCGGGGACCTGGCGCGCTCCTGTTAAGGGTAATAGGCGGCTCCTGGAGGAAAGGAGTGGCGTGACAGGCGTGTTCCGGGCGCAGGGAGCGACACAGTGGGGACAGCAGGGGGGAATGGGGTCCCGGAAGATCCGCACAGCCAACCAGACCGTGGGGGAGGGGCACTGGGGCTGTGGGGCTGCGGGGGCTTTGCAGCAGGAACCCTGTGTGGTCTGCTCGTTGGTGGAGACGGCTGGGTGGCCTGTGCCTCAGCTCCGACACGGGGAGCGTTTGCTGGTGACGCGGTGCCTGGATATTTGGGAGGACACTGCGGGGAGGGAGATTAGCTTGGGCCACTATGGCTTCTTCAACCAGAGGAGAGAGCTTTGAGCAGGAAGCCGCAGAGGCCAAGAGGAGGCGCTATGGTCCATGAGGTATTTAAAGAGAAACACAGGCCTAGGCAGCTCCTTTGAGGTGAGGTTTAGAGGAGTGGGATCGATCCGAGAGGCCCCAACCTTCGGGTCAAGGTGGGCTGACACAGAGACAGCCCGGGCGGCACAGCTCGCTGGGGATGGGGGGGGGGGGCTGCAGGACCCCAGCAAGAGGCCAAGATGAAGGTCAGTGAGGGGGCAGCAGGGAGTAGATGAGGCCTCAGCTGGAGTGAGATTTTTTAAATTTTTTATTTATTTATTTTTAGAGAGAGGAGAATGGAGGCAGAAAGAGGGGGAGAGGAACATCAATCTGTGGTTGCGTCTCATGGGCCCCTAACTAGGGACCTGCGTTGCAACCCAGCATGCGCCCTGACGCAGAATCAATCCAGTGACCCTGTGGTTTGCAGTCCACTGAGCCACACCAGCCAGGGCTGGGATGAGATGTAAGGGTGAGTTCCAGACCCTGAGGTCCCTGGGGGCCCGAGAGAGCCTTACAGAAACTGCTGTGCTGGGCCAGTGATGTGACGAGGACCAGGCTGGGGGAGCCACCAGAGACTGGGCCTGCAGGACCAGGGAGACCAGCCCTAGAACCGAAGCTTCCTGGAGAAATACCTGGTGGGGCCCAGGTTCCCCACATGGTGCTGTGGCACCCGAGGCTTTGTGTCTTGGACCCCCAGGCTTCTCCCACTCTAGCCAAAGGCCCTGCATAAGTCAGATGGTGAAAAGCTGCCATTGAGCTTGCAGATGCTAAGGCTAAACTGCATGCGAGTGGCTGCTTTGTACTGATATGCTCGTGTGGGGCTGGGGGCTGCCTGAAGCCAGTGTGGCCAGCACGAAAGGAGGCCGTGTGACAGAGGTATGGCCACACTCCGAGCCCACGAGGGCAGGACACACAGCCCTCCCTTGGCCACGCAGTGCTCACAGAGGATGCAATCCTTGTGCTTCCCTGGGGGTGGGGAGGCATGGGGTGGCCTGCTGGCTGGACAGCCCCTGAGCTTTGGATCTGCCCATGTTTGCTGAGTCCACTCCTGGATAAGAGCCCGTCTTTAGGGGAGAAGGCATGGGCATCCCGGATGCGGGCAGGACTCCCCCCGGAAGGCAGGGCCAGGCAGA